CACTAGGGAGCAGTGCACAGCCATGCATAGCAGGGCGGAGCAAGACAGCACAAGGACACGCAGCAACGCAACGCACGCAACGCAGCGCGAGGCAACGCTTCATGCAGAGCAACGCGAAGGCAGTGCAGAGCGATGCAACGCGATCGACGCAGTGCAGACCAGTGCGAACCAGAGCGATCCAGTGCGCTTGCAACGCGGCGGCGGGCGGCGCCGAGCTGGCCAGACCGCCGCCCGGGCCCGGCGGCGGCTACTGCGGCGACGCGCGGCGGTCACACGCCGTCCAGAGCGGCACCGGAGCGCCCGGAGTTGCCCTAGGAGAGAAGTGCAGCTTGCCATGGGAACTCCCATGGGACCCCCAGGGGATTCCCAGGAGTCCATGGGAATTCCGCAGGGAATCCATAGAATTCCTTAGAGCCCCATGCCAAGGATTACCCTGCTTGCCTCCAGGGTGCCCTGGGCTTTTTAGGTCTCGATGGTTTTGCCATGGAAAGCGTGCCGTTCCCACACCAAGTCGCTGGACGTCCTGGGGTCTCAGGGTTGGGTTTCTTGTGGAATGTTTCCGATGGTCGGGCCCCCACTGTAAGATGCCCGAAGGCATCCGCTGGTGCGGGAGTAAGGATAAAGTTTTGGAGGTCCGCGCGCATTTCTTGTGTCGGCACGCCATGGAGGGGGGGTGTCCAGCGCCGATCCAAGAGATCCGAGCGGACCCTCAACAGTTTATGCCTGTGTAGCTAGTCTTTAGAGGCCATGGCATCGCCCACCTGGTCTTTGCTAGGCCAAAGCTTTGTCCGCAGCGGTGGTCGCGTGTCCGCTCCCTCCGGGGGCGGCCAAGAGGGGGGTGGGTGATGACTGGGGCGGGGCAGGTATCATGGCCAGAGCCATGAAGTCTCCCTGGATTTCGCTGCCCCCTGTTCTCCTGGAGGAGACCCCACGGAGTCATGAACCAGTCACGACGGGCGGCTTCTCGCCCTTCCTCGGCCTCCGAAGGGGCCCTCACGCCGGGCCCCGGGGCCGTCCAAGAGAGCGACTCGGGATGGAACACCGGCCCCAAGGGAACGGGCCGAGGTGCCCGGGGGTCGACGTTATGAAACACTCATCACGTCGGGGGCCTGGAGGAGGAGGAGGAGGAGGAGGAGGAGGAGGAGGAGGAGGAGGAGGAGGGCGGAGGAGGAGGAGGGCGGAGGAGGACAAGAAGGAGAAGGAGGAGGAGGAGGAGGAGGACGAGAAGGAGGAGGAGGAGGACGAGAAGGAGGAGTCGCGAGCCCATGGAGCGACGCGCCGAGTCGGATTCGGGACGGAACAGGGGGCAGGAAAAGGTGAGAAACGCGCAATCGAGCACAGAGCGATTTCGGGCCCCAGGGCGCATTGGCCCAGCCGAAGCATCACGGCCGCGACGAGAGGTCCCGACGGAAAACGCCCAGGATCGGGGGCCAGGGACCGAAACGACCGAGGACGGATCAAAGCTAAACGAGTTAGCAGAAACAACTATATGGAAAGCAGGCCGAGCCACTGGACCGCCGAGTCCGTGACCTCGAGCCTGCGGGGGGTCGGAATGGGTGGGGCCTTCCCCCCCTTTGGGTGGGTGCCCTTCATAAAGTTGTCCCGTCTCCACTTTCGCTGGGGATTATCTTTAAGGGCAGCCTCTGGGTCACAATCCCAAAACAATTGCGTGCGCGCCGTTCTGGCCGAGAACGCCCCACACTTGCTGCACCCCACCAGGTCCCCAGACAGATACAGGACATGGCCCCGAGCGCTCGCGGGAGGGACCTCCCCCGAGCGTGGCAACGGGGCTCTGGGCACCACCGCGTCCGCTCTGGACGGCGGCGTGCCCTTCCACGCTCGCTTCACGCCCCGCGAGGTCGCCGCACCCACCGCGCCCCTTATGGCCTCCTGGGGCCGCTCAGGTCCCTCCAGGACCTCCGCGAACCTGACCCTCGGACGAGGTGCGACGGGGGTCGGCGGCGGCGGCGAGGAAGGGGGAGGCGAGGCGAGGTGAGGCGAGGGAGGTCGAAGCGAGGGAGGAGGAGAGGGGTGGGCCTCTGGAGTCCCAGCAAGCCCTTGGGGAGCGCCCCCGACCGATCCAGAACGGCGCTCACGCTCGAGCGAGGGGAGGACCGAGGGGGAAGGAGGCTCCACGAGAGGAGGAGGAGGAGGAGGCGGGGGGGAGGTGACCCGAGGTCTAACATCCCTGTGAGACGATGACGCCCCGCCCTCCAGACGTCCTCCTCCTCTGGCTGGGCAAACCTCCCTCCTGAGCCTCTCGAGGCCCCTACGCGATCTGGCAAATCGAGGGCAGTGCATGCAGCGCCAGCCGCGGCCTGCCGCTACTACCTGGTGTCTTTTACTCTGCTCGCGGCCGCAGAGGCCGTCTGGTCCAGCCGACTGCGCCCGAGCTGGCTGAACGCGCCCGCCGCGGCGAGCCTTCCTGCCCACGGTGGCGACCCTGTCGAGCTGGTCGCCGACGCCGATGTCCACCTGGCAGCTGCCTATCCAGGCAGCGACCTGCCTGACCGCCTTGAGCAGCCGCTTGTGTTCCTCGTAGGCGTCCTCGGGGAAGCCGTGGAGCGCCGTGCCCTTCTTGGCGGCCGCGTCCGCGAAGTCATTCCCAACCTTGTCGATGCTGTCGCCTGCCTCCAGGGACGTCTGATGGCCCTCGACCCACGTGATCTGCAGGTCTTCGCTGAGCCCGCCCAAATCCTCGATCGCATGCCAGAGCTGCCGCCACAGGTCTGCATTGTCCCTCCTCACGTGCGTGCAATGCGAACGCCAGCGACTCTACGAGGCCCAGGCAGTCGGTCTTGATGTGCAGCGGGAGGTGACCGTGCTTGAGCACCTGGAGCACGGCATAGATCTCGCCCCGCTGCGCTGTCTGCTGGGGCCCTGGCAAGGGGCCGAAGGCCATGCCACGAAGGCGCCTGCCTGCTAAGATGGCAATGCCCCATCCTGCACGGCTCGCCTCAGGCCAATATAATGGTGACCTGGCCGATCCATCAGTGAACACTTCTCCTGTGATGTCCATGGTCTGGCCTCCCATGCAGTACCACCACCTCTGCGTGTCCAGGGGTGGCGGAATATCTGGGAGTACTGCTCGAGGAAGCAGCGCCCTGGTGTAGAAGGGGTCATTAGGGGAAGCCTCCTTAACCATGTCCACTATCAAATCATCCACAGCAGCTGTCCTCGTATCTGCACAACGGGGGCACTTCCAAAATCTGTGGTGTAAATCGCCAACAACGTCTCCGCAATACTGGCACATCTGAGAGTCCGCGTAGCCTATGGTGTAGAGGCGCTGTTGTGACCATTGCGCTCCAATGATGGTGGACCTGAGGGCGCCTCTGGCCTTGGGCTGCAAGTTCCAAGTAGACGCCTCAGGAGGTGCGTGCATCATGGCTGCGATCGGCTCGATCCAGTAACCTCGCGGGTCGCGTGGGGCAGGTGGGTGTTCAGCTGCATGTTCCACTTTGGATGCCCACTCCTCCCACTTCACCGATCTGTAGCTGCGTCTCGCCATCGTGCGCACCCACTTGGGTGCAACCTCGTCCAGCTTCAGCGTGATGCCGTTTCCCGTCTCCCAATGCGTGGCTGAATGCGCCCTCCAGCCCAGACGCCTAAGGTTGAGGGTGACGGCGCCTGCAGGTCCCGCGATGGAGCTCCATGGGGCCGATGCCGATGCCAAAGCTGCCGACTGAATCTTCCACGCGCGCTCGATCGTGTCCATGGGGATCTTCTGGTCGAGCACCAACTGCGCCCAAGTGAAGATGGGCTCCACGGCCGCCATCGCATCAGGCATCTGGTTGGGACCTTCTTCCAAGAGCGATGCAAGCCATGTGGATGAAGCCGTGGGTGTCTTGCTCCAGCCTGTGCGGACCACGTTCGTCATCATGGCTACCGTGGCTGGCGGGGCCCCCACCGCATGGGGGCCGTAGGTCATGCCAGGCGCCAAGCATGGCCGAGCGATCCGCTTGGCCAGCTTCGCCATGCCTTTGAGCTTCCTGAACCTCGGGATCCGCTCCTTGATTTTCCGGACGCGCTTGTGGATCTCCATGTAGGTCAGACGAGCCCCATGCACGACATTCCAGGCCAAGGACGCTCAGCTTGTTGACCACCTGAAAGCCATACTGAGAAACTCCTCGAACCACTTGCGCTGCGATGTCCTCCGCTGACCCCAGGATCTTAGCCTTGTCTTTGGCGATGGGAAGCTCAAGTGCTTGGAGGACCACCGCCAACCTGCCGATAGCCGCCTGAGCTGCCTGGACAATCTCATTCGCCTTCATCATGATCTGAAGCGTGATATCATCTGCATAGATGTCCAGGGTGCGCGGTATCTGCGTGATCGACGCCTGATAAATATCGAAGGGCAGGATCATGATCAGTTGCAACAAATGCATTGCCACCGAGCAGCCAGGTAGGGCCCCTTGCGTGGCCCTGACGGCATATGAGAAGTTCGTCCCCCATCGAATGCGCCTCGGAGCGGCATACATGGCCAGGACACTGCGCAGGACGCTGAGCGGAAACCCAACGTGTTTGGCGGCCTCGATGATCTTGATCCACTTGAGCCTGTCGAAGCACTTGCTGATGTCCATCGGGGCTGTGATGATGGCGTCCTGGTCTCTTGCGTCGGCTGCCTCAGCGTAGACCATTGTGCGCGCACCCACATCTATCGTAGATCGTCCTGAGCCCAGCGCGAGGTAAGGACGCGTGTGGTTGGCCGCCCACCTGCGCACGTGGGCGATCCTGATCTTGGTGTACACCCTGTAGATGGACGGCAGCAAGGCTATCGGCCTGAAGCCGCCTTGGGGCTTCGCCAACAACATCACGTGAATGGCCATGATGGTGGTGGGCCATCGCCCCCAGGCCTCCGCAGCCCATAGAAGGTACACGAGCATGGCCACGGCGTCGTCGACCAAAAGAGAGTACGCTCGTGGAGGCATTGCGTCAGCACCAAGTCCCGTCTTCCACGCAAAGGATCTCGAAGCACGCCGTACGTCATCGATCGTGGGTACCTGCATGGCCTCGCATGGTAGGGTGCGGATGAGCTTCACCAGGTCGTCCTGGCTGTCTGCAATGTGCTCGACGTCGAACTCGTTGTCGCCGAGGCTGACGGCACAGGTGATGCTGCCCACGTCCTTGTAGATGATGTCCTTATCCGCAGCTTTGGAGACCTTTGTACCTTGCCATATGTCATTCCACATGTCCATCTGGCTGTCTGCTACTGCTTGAGGAAGCGCTGAGCGAATACCGAACCTGTCTACCTCATTGTGCGCCCGCCCCTTCAGCTTGGTCATGCCGGAGACTGGGGAGGCGCCTGTGATCAGCGCGTCCTGGGCCCACTTGTGAAAGCTCTTGGCCCTCTTGTTGGCTGCCTGCTGCTCGAGAACCTTGGCATGGCCTTCGAAGGTCAGGGCGAGAGCTTTGACAAACAGGATGTACTGTGAGGCCTCCAGTCTGCACGCATAACGTAGAACAGGCCAAGCCCACTCGAACAGCACCACGCCCTCCGTCGCGTGGATGTCCTGACGATGACCTGGCCGAAGAGCCCTCGTGATGCGCGCCCAGTTGGGCCCAATAAGACCTGGACCCCGACGCCTCGGTGGGGTAGGTCCCTCCCGATCGCCTTGGTCTTGATCGTCGTGCCCTCTCTCGTCGCGAAGCCCTCCTCGATCTGGCCCTTCGTCGTGTCCATGTGGCTCCGCCTGCTGCTCAGCCATGCCAGCGACAAACTTTAAATTAGCGCTGGAGCCCGAGCCGCCGACGTCGCCTGAATGAGTAGAATTCCCAAGGGAAGCTGCTGTCCTTGCTCGATGCCGTGGTGATGCCCGCTTCTCAGCCATGCCGACTGCAATCTTCAAATGAGAGCTGGAGCCCGAGTCGTTGGCGTCACCTGAATAAGTAGATGTCACGCGAGAAACTGCATCCTTGTCACGATCACGTGGCGCCGTCCGCTGCGCAGCCATGCCAGCATCAAACTTCAACTGAGAGCTGGAGCCCGCGATGCCGACGACGCCTGAGTAAGTCGAAGCCGATGTGGTAGCTGGCGAAAGATGACCTGTTGGCTCTGCCCTTTCAAGTTGAGCGGCCAGGTCTTGCAGCGCGAAGGTCACGTTGCGCATGCAGCGGGCTTCGGGGCCAGCTGCTGGAGCCCCTTTGAGGATGGGCCCTCCCGCTGGACGCCAGACATATGCAGGAGCTTCCGCTCTACCACAATACTTCTCGCGATCCTGCACGTCCACCTGGTTGATGTGGCAGAGGTCCTGCTCCACGAACGAGATGAAGTTGGCGTGGAGGCCGTCGAGCCGCCGCTGTGCCTGATCACCATCTTCAGGTTGTCCCAGATCCGCATCTTGCCTGACCACGTCCAGGTAGGGTTGCAATTTGGGCGGTCCATACAAGGGACTGGCCCGTGAGCACCGCGGCGCCTGCTTGGGGAAAGGCTTGGGCGCCTTCAGGTGCATCTGCATGTGCGCCCTGGGCTTCGCGTCGAGATCCATGCGCACAGGATAGTGGGGCCTCGGGACCCAAGAGTCGAGCACGTAGGGGACGCCACAAGCCTTCGCAAAGTCAGGTGAGGCCAGCCAGTAGTCGATGGTGCTGTAAGTGCCCGTCTTTGCCGAACGACAAGTGCCCGACGTTTGAGTGGCCACCGCAATGGCAGGCATGATCTGCAAGAAGCCCAGCACCTCCATGTTGGCAGGCTCCGTGTTCCAGTCACCTGCGAAAATGAAAGGGGCGGAGAAGTAGCGCATGCTCTCCGCGATGCGCATGAGCTTCTGATAGTTAGCGGTGAGAAAGTCGGGGTCTGGGACCGACTCCATGTACGCCGACCCGACGATGAAGCCTCCCTTGATCCCAGCATGTACGTGTACTGCCACCGCCCACGAACGTACGATCTCGAACCCATCCGTAACGCCCCCAGCACCACTAAGAAGAGTAGTGGATACATGCGCCCTGACAAAGATCCCCACGCCCGCGCTCGGCAGCTTGGAAGCCAGGCGCCTGCACGGACTGAATGGCTGCCATCCATTTCTCGTCGCCCATGTTCGCGCCTGATCCAACGCTTCGCCATCAAGTCGAAGTTCCTGAGCCGTTACCACCAGCGCATCTGTCGCTCCATTCTGCCAAAACTGCTGGCACGATCGCCAGCAATACCCATTGAATGTGACAACCCCCATGCTGGTGCGCGCCCTGCGGCGCGTGGCTCGTCTACGTGGTGCCCGCAAACTCCCGCGCTGCCGCTGCTGCTCCTGCTGGCGTCGGTGCTGCTGCGACTGGTGGTGCTGCTGGTGCACGTGCTGCGCCTGGTGCTGCAGGCGCTGCGGCTGCTGTGACTGCTGCTGTGTGGGCGCCGACGCCAGCGGGCTGCCCGCCCGCGGTGCGAAAGGCCTCAACCTCCATCGCCGTCTGGCCTGGCGGAGACGGCCTCGGCATTGCGTCCCCCGGCGTGCGCACGTGTCCCACCAGCTGCTCCAGGATGGCACCGCCCACGATGTTGCGGTCCTGGCCCTGCTGGATGGAGTTGTGGGCTGTCTGGAGAAGTTGCTGAAGCGCCGCCACCGAAGATGCCGCATCGCCGCCCAGTGGTGCGGTATGTGCCGCATTGGCCAGCTGGGCCTGCGCCACCTCCTCGTTGGACTCCACAAGCTGCAGCTTGACGCGGTCCAGCCTGTCGGTGGCCGATTTGAGTTGGGCTGCCAGGGCGTCGACCTCCGTCTGGAGCTTTGCACGCCCCTCTTCACGCGCTGCCTGCCTGTCCAGCGCCGAGCGGAGCACGTCGGCAGGCGCCATGTGAGCCCGCTCTTGTGCTTCGGCCTGGCTGAGCTCGGCCTTGGCAGCCACGACGAGGGAGTGCTCTTCGTCATAGATGCTGCGCAGCGCCTTGAGGGCCTTACGGCACTTGGCCACCGCGTTGGACTCCGCGGTGCCCCCGCCGCCAGCCCCAGGAGGAGCGCCGCGAAGATGGCGACCGCCGCCAGCGCCCAGCGAGCGAGGCCTGGACGCCGAGCGCGGCCTGGTGGGCTGGCGGGCCCCCTTGGCTCCCGTAGGCCGGCCCTGGCGGTCGAGGCCGCAGGCCCAGCAGGTCTCGCGGGTCGCGAAGTTGTTGGCGAACCCGCACGCCCGCGTGGCCGCGCATGCCCACACAGGGCCACCGCCGCCACGCCCCTGAGCTGTGCGCCAAGGGGCTCCATGGGCCGCCTCGTCCTGCGCCATGGCCTCGCCGTGGTGGCCAGCCAGCGTCCTGCGGGCCTCCGCGACGCGAAGGACCTGGCGAGCCTCCGCGCGGCGCCGCCGCTGCCGCCTGTGCCAGGCTGGCGACGGCGAGCGCCGTCGAGGCGAGCGGCCAGCCGTCGTCGAGGTGCACCAGCGCCCGCAATCGCCGCGGGCCGCCGGCGTCTGGGGCCAGATGGACGCCCCCCCCGCGCGCCCCCGCGCGCGTGGGAGCCCAAATGGCAGCCTGGACGAGAGGAGGAGGAGGAGGAGGAGGAGGAGGAGGAGGAGGAGGAGGAGAAGGTTCGGGAGGGATGACGGGGGCCCGGGTTCCCAACTGGGGCCGGGAGCACGGCGCCCCCAGCTGTGGCCGCGCGGCGCCGCCCAAGCGGCCACGGCGGGCCTCGGCTGCCCGCCGGCCGCCGGCGCCGCCGGCGCCGCCGCCATTTTCGGTGTCGTCTTCGTCGGCGCGTTGCGCGCCGCCGTTGCGCTCCTCCTCGTCCTCCTCCACGTCCTCCTCCACGTCCTCCTCCTCCTCCTCCTCCTCCTCCTCCTCCTCCTCCTCCTCCTCCTCCTCCTCCTCCTCCCCCTACTCCGTCTCCTCCTCTTCCTGCTCTTCTGCCTCCTCCTCTTCCGCGTCGCGCGCCGCCGTCGCGCTTGTCTGGAAGAACATCCTGCCCTGTGACCCAGACCCCCTCGAGTCATGAAACAAAACACGACGGGTGTTTCTTCGCCATTTTCGGCATCTGGGGGCCCTTACTGGGCCTCGGAACCGTGAAAAGACGACTCAGGATGCAACAACGGTGCCTGGCAATGGGTCAAGACCTCTGGAGGTTGACGTCATGGAGAAATCATGAAGTCGGGGGTCTGGGGATCGCGGGTTGTTCTTCAATCCCACGACTTCCTGTGAGGGTTTGGGACGACGTCGGGGTAAGGGAAGCATCGACAAAATGTATGCACCAGTATCCCGTAGACGCCCCGACCCGCTTTCCTGTGCGAGCTTCAGTGCGGGGCCAGAAGACGCGTCCGTGCGTATATAGAGATCGGCTCCTTCCGCAGGCCCTGAGCTCTCGGCGTTGCACTTCTTGCCAGAACAAGGGCGCTTCCGCCCGGTGTGTGGGCCCCGGGCCCTCGCAGCTCGATCCCGCTCGAAGAAGGACGCTGCTGCTGCTGCGGAGGGGGAGGGGGAGGAGGAGGAGGAGGAGGAGGAGGAGGAGGAGGAGGAGGAGGAGGGGAGGAGGAGGAGGAGGAGGAGGAGGAGGAGGAAGAGGGGAGGAAGAGGAGGACGAGGAGGAGGAGAGGAGGAGGAGGAGGAGGAGGGGAGAATGAGGAGGAGGAGGAGGAGGGGGGGGGGAGGAGGAGGGGGGAGGAGGTCGAGAGGGGGCGGAGTAGTCGGAGGAGGGGGAGAAGGAGGGAGGAGGAGGAGGAGGAGGAGGAGGAGGAGGAGGAGGAGGAGGAGGAGGGGGAGGAGGAGTAGGAGGAGGAGGAGGAGGAGGAGGAGGAGAGGAGGAGGAGGAGGAGGAGGAGGAGGAGGAGGAGGAGGGGGAGGAGGGGGAGGAGGAGGAGGAGGAGGAGGAGGAGGAGGAGGAGGAGGAGGAGGAGGTGCCAAGTATTTCGCAGCGCAGCGCCGGCTCTCAGAGAGACGTGCGCGCCACGTGCGGCCGAGACAATGGCAAGCGACGTCGACAAGCAAGGGAGGACCCCTGCCCCAAGAGCAGAGACGACGAGCAGAGACGACGTCAGAGGAACACGTAAGTCGGGCATGTCCCTCTACAGGAGGAATATTCAAGAATAGTCAAAGCATAGTCGGGGGACGATTGTGTGACTATTTTGAATCTGTGCTGGATATGTTCGAGTTTTTGATTTTTCGTCCACAGTCCGCCTGTAGGAGGACATGCCCGACCTAAAACACATGCATACTTTCCCGGAGGTCCGCGCGGATCTCTTGGATCGGCCTTGGGCCCCACTGGCGGCGCCTCGGGCGCCACCCCTGGCCCGCTCCGCGCGCCTGGGAGAGCGCGAACCTCCGAGACGCCCGCCACCGTGCCTTGTGCACGTCGAGGCTTGGAAGAATGTCAGCGTCTACCTGCTAGGGTTCTTGGACTCTAGCGAGGGGCCGCCCCTCCTCTACCAGCGGACCTCGTGCGCGCATACCCCCCCAACTCACCGAGGCCACTTCCCTCGTGCCCGCTCGAGGATGGGTGCACTTCCCGCATGGAGTCCCTACCCCCCCTCTCCACGTTTGCCCGCTCGAGGATGGTAAACTTCCCGCATGGCAGCTCATGCCTGAACCCCCATTCCACGCGTACTTCCGCATGACGGCTAATGCCTGATCCCTCATTCCATGCGCACCCGGTCGAGGATTGCGCAGTTCCCGCAGGGCTGCCACCTCCTAGACCCGTCATCCCAAGCTCCCGCTCGAGGATCGCGTACGTTCCAGACACCCTGGCGCTGCTGCCACGCGCCCCAAGGCCTCCCAAGCGACGAACCTCCGTGAAATTACCCAGGAACGTACCCAACCCTTTCTAAACACGTAGTGGCTATACCCAAGACTGCCCAATACAGGCGAACATGTTGAAAGAGCCGCAGTGCGCAGAAGCGGCCAGAAGTGAAATCAGATGCGCGCAGCAGCGAGGGCAATGACAGCCACCCGAAAAATGGGCACAGAGCGGCGCTGCTGTAGGACAAGCGCCCAAGAACACTTGAAACAAGAGGGCCGCGGCGGCAAGGGCAGGGGGCAGCGAGACGAGCACAGCAGATGCTGCACACGAACAGGGCAGCGCGACGAACCAGAAGAGCACCCCAGAAGTGCAGACCGAAAGGGCGCCCGGCTCCAGCCCTTTGGCCCGCCGCCCCCCCGCCGTGATGCGGCGGGCCGCGCCGTGGCCGTGCCGCCCCTGGGCCTGGGCGGCGGCCGCCCTCCTCCGCGGCCCGGCGGCCGCCGCCTCGTGGGTCGCGGCGGTGCGGGGGCCGTGCGAGCAGGTCGGGGCCTGCGTGCAGAGCCCGAACTACCCGGGACGGTGCGCGGCTGCACGCGCACACGTTGCTCACGTCTGCTTCTTCGGGAGGCCTCTCGGGGGTATCTTAGGAGGCCAGGATCCTCTCATGTCTGATGCCTCTGTCCTGGGCCTCTTCCTGGCCACCAGGGGGCCAGGAACAAGCAGAGACACGAGCACAAGCAGAAACGAGCACGATGAGAAATGAACGACGTGTCAGAGTGACCCTTCGCTGGAGTGACCTCTGGTGCGGGCCCAGTGGGGCACCCCGATCGCCAAGCACGATGCGACAGCAGCGGCCTGCGCGCCCGGCGGTGTCCCCGAAGGGCCCCCCACACTGGGCCGCGCACCACAGGTCACTCTTGCCCAGGGTCGCTCTCCTGCGTGTAGCCGAGGTACGGTGGCCAGCAGAGCTGCGAGATCTCCGTGAACCCGTGGGCGCAGGAGAGCGTCAGCGCCATCCGCTTCCGCAGCGAGAGGAACTACGACGTCCTCACCGTGAACGGGAAGCGCTATTCGGGCCACTTCTCGCGGGGCCCGCAGGACGTCGTGGCAACCGGGGCGATCCTGTGGAGCTCTGACGACGGCGTCGAATCTACAGGGTGGAAGATTTGCCGCACGTCGGAGGCCGATGCCGTGCGGGCCGCTGAGCCGCCCATCGAAGCCCGAGGATTCGAGATGTTCATTTACGCCTTCATGACGGTGATGGTTGTGTGGCTTGTCCCATTCCTTGCTGTGGCCCCTCTGGTATCTACGGTACTATGCATTTTGGCCCACAAAGTATGTAAAACCGAGATGTTGAGCAGCCTCGCAGTTCGCATCGCACATTTCCCGTATATGTTGTTGCACGGTGGCAAGGCCGCGGGAGACAGTGAACATCCATTCAACATCGTTGGATATTGCATCTTGTGGTGGGGAATTGTATCATTCACAATGCTGACTTTCATTATTATCTTGTTTGCGGCGGTCACCTTCCTAATCACTTATCTGTTCGGTTTGTTGATGATGTCGCTATTCTTCATGCTCCTCACACTGATGGAGTCCGTCGCAGAGCGAGCTACGAATGAAACAAGAGTCTCAGGAGGTCAAGTTCCTGCCGTGAAGTACGAGGGGAAGCTGTGGCAGTTCTTGAGGCACCCATTCGTCAAGTGGACTTATCGGACAGTGGCTCTTCTTGTAATTGCCACCGTGATAAGTGTTGGAGTCTACGTCCAGTTCTTGGTGGACGCAATGCTGATCGAGAGTGGATTTGATCTGCTTCCCTCCCAGCGCGACTCAAGTGATTCTCCGCCAGTGTATGCGGTCATGCAGGGCATGAAGGGCGATTTCGCGGTCATGAGCATCGTATCCCCAGCGTTCGAGCTGTTCCGTCCGATTCTTAAGTGGGTTCGTGCATGCTTGGATTGGCCCGTGGCATGCAATCCTGCCGCGTGGTCTGCCTATTCTGTCGTTTGCCTTTCTGCAACATATGTCCAGTTCGTATGGTGCACGACCGACGTTGCATCTCCTTTGTACGATCGGCAGAAGCGGTTGGAAGAGGCGCCAGCAGATGAGACTGCTGGCAATATGGGTTTTCTGAAGCAGAAGTTTTACGCCCTGGTTGTATTGATCATCCTCAAGTTGAACTTCTACACTCTGCAACTTGTTGGGCAGGGCATAGTCTCTGGATTCCCCGGCATGATGTCACACGATTCTAAATATTGCGAGGTCGAAGTGGTCCACCCCCACGGAATTGAGCTTGGATATGCAGCCTCATGGCTGATTGCACGGCTCATGTCTTATTCGTAAGGGCTTCGCCCCCTGCCGCCGGCCCCCTCTCTATCCTAATGGGGTAGATCAGGGTCGCGTCGGTGCGTCTCGGCGCTGTCTCGGCGCATCTGCGAACATCATGCGGGGGCGGATTGGAACCATCAGCGCGTATTGAGACGTTGGCGTTATCGACGACGCGCACGGCGAATCGCCGCCGCGCCCTGCCCTTGTGGAAGCGCTGATGTGGCCGACAGCTGGGCTAGAGCTTGGCCAAGCTATCGGGCCAATTGTTCCCCGAGTCGGTAGGGAAAGCCTTCGGGGAACGCTTGGGGGAGCAAGCGGCTTGGAATCGCCCATGCGTCTGAGCGTTGTGGCCAGTGCTCTGCCAACACACCAGGCCATTTGTTCCCCCAACAGTTGTGGGAACCCTTCGGGGAACACGTCGGGGAGGACGGCGGGGAAGATCAGGAGGAGGAGGAGAAGGAGGAGGAGGAGGAGCAGAAGGAGGAGGATAGAAGGAGGAGGAGGAGGAGGAGGAGGAGGAGGAAGAATAGAAGGAGGAGGAGGAGGAGGAGGAGGAGGAGGAGGAGGAGGAGCAGGAGGAGGAGGAGGAAGCATCTTGGGAGCCTCTGGGGGCACTCTTGGCGCCTCCTCCTGGGAGTTTCCTGAGAGCCTCTTGGAGGCATCTTGGGGGGCCTCGTTGTGCATTTTGAGGGCCTTTGGGGGCTTCTCGGGGTCTCAGGGCATTCCTGGCACGTCCGACGCCGTCGGAAGCCGTCTTTGGGGCTTTTCTGGGCCGACTTGACTCGAGGGACGTCTTTGAGGCCATCTTGGGCGTCTTGGAGGCCTTTTGGGCCTTCTGCGGCCCTCTTGGGGCCGTCTTGGAGGCTTCTTGGGCTGTTCTGGGGCCGTCCTGGAGGCCTCTTGGGCGATCTTTCGGGGCTCTTGGGCCGTCTCGGGCCGTCGGAAGGCCGACCGAAGCAAACATATCTCCCGAAAACCGGAGGGAAATCGATGCATTTGGCATCTTCGGGCCTTCCTGGAGAGCCTCGTGGGCCGTTTTGGAGGCCTCTTGGGAGCCGTCTTGGGCCATCTTAGAGCCATTTGGGGCCGTCTTGGTGGGCTCCTGGCCCGTCTGGTTCCGTCGGGAATTGTTTCGGGGGCCTCGCTGTGCAACGTACAGCCCAGAGCCTGCCTGACTAGAGCCTCCTTACTACACAACAGATGGCCTCTAGATGCCGAGTGTGAGCTTACACCTGCATACATGTCTGCGCTCACAAGGGACCCCGGTTTACATATATCCGCGTTTCACGGCGCATCGTGTTTCGAATTCCGTGTGTAGTTTAGGCATGCTTGATGGTCTCCCCGAGAACCCTCGTAGAGCCCTCGGGCCCCAGATGGCTCATTCTATAAATGTTTCAAGTGTCCCCAGGACGTTTCTTTTGAAACCGCCTTGGTTCAAGCCTTTGCAGCGACAGAGTGTCGCTGGATTCATGGTGCGCGCCTGTGACGCGCAGGATTGCGAGCTGGCCCGCAACCGTAACAGCCCCTTTTCATCACCATCGCGCGAGCAGCCTCGTGCTTCCCATTGCCCGTACATCCCCGACACCAACATCAGTGTTATCGAAACCTCGAGAGGCGAGAGAGAGAGAGAGAAGAGAGAGACCAATATCCAGGGATTCATCTCAGGGCAGTGGTTCTAGCAGCGCCATTGCATGGTTGCGGAGCTGTGAAGCTCCATGGGCAACATATTCACGGAGCACAGCGTGCTACGACACAATGGCGAAACGCAGCATTGGAGATGACATTGTATTGGAGTGGAACGGAGACTTCACCAAGGTGAACGATTACGAGCGAGACGCCAAGGCCTCTATCCGCGGGACCAGGCGTGACAAACGAAATGTGTTCGGCCACAGACTCTGGAGACGACTCGGGCGACGAGCTAGACAGGCCGCCATGCACGTTGATTGGGACCGCATCTAGAAGGACGATGGCGCCATTGAGTTGCCCAGACACGTCCGCGCAATGCTCGGAGCGCAGCCCATCCAGGACGCTGGGAAGTATTTGGCCAGATTGGTATTCGATCTACGACGCGACTCTTGTTATGCCGTCCTTTGTCCGCCGCGATTACGAAACCTATCACGACTTGGTCAACGGATTTGCCACCGAATATTTCGAGAAGCAGAGACATCAGCGTCTCGCCAAACGGGCGACGGATTGGAACGACGTCTACACAGAGATGCATTGATTCCTCCATGAGATCTTGCTCGAGGGCCCCGAGGACTCCTGCCGACAAAGCGAGAGAGCTGAACCTCAAGCTCTGGAGCTTCATCAGGACGGGGCTCCAGGAAATTCTGGAGCATGCCGATTTCGGAACCGATTTTAACCGGGCGGTTCCCCATCGACCAGCTCCGTGGGTGGTTACTGCTGCAAAGATCCAGACTGTCCCCGACCGAGCGTGCAGCAGTGATCAGTGTTGTGGAGGGTAACCTCGACTGCGAGAGCATCGGAGCAGTTTCGAGTATCCTGGCCAGATGGCGACTCGACGAATCGCGACAATAACCAGGGCAAAGATCACTGCCGCCCGGATCGTGGCAGGGTCCGGGCCGGCGGGGATCAGGAAGATGACGAAGATGAAGTTCAGCATGGCTATGGCTACTACGACGATTCGAACGCGTCCTACGATACCCAGCCGGAGGAAGATCCAAAGATCCCGAGGAGCCCCTCTACGTTGCTCCAGCGATAGAGGAGGCCGAGACCGCCTTCGCAGCTCAGCAGCGCAGCTTCGAGCAGGCTCGGGACCTGCTTCGTCGAGTGAAGACGGCGAGGAATTCCTTCCCAGTGGATGCGCAGCCCGCGCGACGAGAAGCCCCATGGACCTCGAATGGCATCCCGAGGCTCTTGGTTTTCCACGGGGCGAGGGCGCGTCGACGGACAGCGACGTGATCGACCGAGTTCCAAGAGTAGTGACCGCTCGCGTCCCGCATAGAAGGGCCTGCGCTTGAAATGTGGAGGTAATACGAAAGACCACCGAGACCGAGTTTCATCCGCCGGCAGCCGAGGGGGTCGAGATCGACCGAAGAAGGCTTTCTCGAGCTTCGACTTCTTCAGCGCTCAGCGAGGCGCGGAGATGGGGGCCCATCTGACCGGGCGCGACGAGGCGATCTACGATACCTCGACCGGGATCCGCGTTCTGATCGTCTGGTGACCTCGCCCGTCTGGGCGACCTTGGAGCAGGGCGAAGAGTGGATGCGCACGGGCGTGAAGCAGTCTGGCTCCGAGGGCTCCGGCATTCTGGACATCGGCGCTGCCTCCAGCATCGCGGGCATATAGGCCGCCGAGAAGCTGCCAGGCACCGTCTATGAGCAGACAGGCAGGAACGTCAATATTATCGTCGGCCAGAAGTCAACCTTAAATCTTCGGCGACGTCAACTCCGAGACCTGCAACGGCAAGGCCACCTTTCCGCTGGAGATAGCCGGCGCGGAGGGCGAGCTCGAGACCGACATCCTGGGCGCCGACGCTCCGCTGCTGAGTTGGGGTGGTGTCTCGAGCCGCCCGGGAGCCGCGATCGACTGCACGGCGCGCGCTGCTTACTTCGAGAAGCTCGGGCGCCGAGCGCGGCTGCTCGCCCTTCCGAGCGGCCACCCTGCGCAGCCACTTGCATCGCATGCCGACTTGCCGCTTCGTGGCCATCCTCAGCTGGGGGCGCGCGCCCCCGACGCCCGAGACTGCTCCGGTGCAGGAGGGAAAATGCGAGAACAAGCAGCCGATTGACAGCGAACGCCCAGGTGCTCCTGCCGATGCCCCCCAAGAGCTCCCAGATGAGACCCCCGCAATTGGGGCCCCGCCAGGCCCCCGGACATCGTTGCCCGCAGCCACAGGGGCATCGTCAGCGCCTACAGCTGCGGGGACATCGTCGTTGCCCGCGCCCGCGGGCATGTCATCATTACCCGCGCCTGCGGCGACATGATTTTCACCTGCTCCCCAGGCATCATTGTCACCAACTCCGGCCCGCTAAAGGCCATGGCCTGGTCAACCTCCTGAGGTCGTTCCCGAGGTCCCCGCGCTGATCAAGCACCGGGCCGCGGCGCCATCATGTTCCATCGCCAGTTTCGGCGCAAACGAGTCGAGCGAGGAGCTCAGTTCTCAGCAGTCTTCATATCTCCCATATCTGCGCGAGCCTCAACCGCGAGACGATATGCTTCAAAGCAGAGGGCCAGCAAGTGGAGAGACAACGAGGAGATGGAGCCGCGGGCGCGGGGGGGGCTGCCACCTGCGGGCCCAGAGCAGGGCAGGGACATGACGCGGCTGTCGGAGATGTTCTTACTGGAGCACCTACCTTTCTGGGAGATGTGGGTCTGCGAGAAGCTGCTATCGAGGGCGACGCGCCGCCGGCGCGACTCATGCTAGAGACCTTCTTGAAGACAGTGTATCTCGAGAAGTGGAAGCTGGGCAGCGTCGACCTGCTGGTGCAGCTGCTGCCCACTCGGTGCCCGACCTGACCGGCGGAGCTTGGACATCAGGCGAAGCTCGAGACTCGCAGTCCGTCGCGCCGGGAGGCAAAGGAGTCGGCCGCCTCGGCCGCGCCGATCCAGCAGAACAGGAAGTTGCGCGACGCCATCGAGAGCGCAAAGTCAGATTTCTTGACCAAGTTGCGGAGCTGACTGCGTCGGCGGCGCTCAGCTCGGAGCAGATTCGCGAGCAGCGCAGCATCGTCACGATGCCCAACCACCTCAGGCCCCTGCGCAGGAGCTGGGGGCTGGTCCATGCAGGGAACAAGGAGGAGGTGATCGACCGCATCATCGCGCCCGTAATCGAGCAGCGCGGGGCGGCGGCCCCGGCGATCAAGATCAAGAAGGGGGTGGAGATCAAAGAGATGGAGGCGGCTTCCGCAGTCGCGGAGCCGGCCATCGCGGCCCATTGCGCTCAGGAGTGCCAGCGTCCTCGTTGCTTGCAGAGGGGGCGTCGCAATGCGCGAGCCAATCGCGAAGGTGAGGCCCCGCGGGTGGCGCCGCCGAGCGCGCGCGACTCAGG